TGTCCTCATGGTGAGCCACAGCCACCCCCCACCTCTGCAGGAGACCCTCCAACACTAGCAGGTAGGTCTGGTTCAGTCTCCTATAGGGTCACTGCTCCTTCTCCAGGTCCCAATGCACACACTACTTTGTGTGTGCCCTCCAAGAATGGAGTCTCTGTTTCCCCTGTCCTGTTGAAGTCCTGCAATCAAATCCCGCTAGCCTTCAAAATCTGATTCTCTAGGAATTCCTCCTCCCGTTGCCGGACCCCCAGGCTGGGAAGCCTGACGTGGGGCTTAGAACCTTCACTCCAGTGGGTGGACTTCTGTGGTATAAGTGTTCTCCAGTTTGTCAGTCACCCACCCAGCAGTTATGGGATTTGATTTTATTGTGATTGCGCCGCTCCTACCGTCTCATTGTGGCTTCTCCTTTGTCTTTGGATGTGGGGTATCTTTTTTGGTGAGTTCCAGTGTCTTCCTATCGATGACTGTTCAGGAGTTAGTTGTGATTCCCATGCTCTCACAAGAGGGAGTGAGCGCACGTCCTTCTACTCCACCATCTTGAAGCAATCTCTAGGGAGGTAAGTACTTTTTAAATACACACTGGCTCTTTTGGGTAAAAAAAAAAAAAAAAGCTTTGTAGATGCCAATGTGTTGAGTGAAAGAAATTATGCTGAAAAGGTGCAAGAAATTAAATCAGATCTGGTCCTCCCCTCTCTTTTTTCTCTAGTGTATAGGCCATCCCCATCTTTTCCCTTCTCTCCAAATAAAACAAAATCACAACCACATCCACATGCAACTTTTTTTTGGCTAAGTGTTTATGCATAAGCTTACTGATTATGGACAAGAGGGCTCAAAATAGTCTCAGGCAGATATTAGAATTGGACAGAATTAGGATGTCCTTTAATGGAGCCAAAAAGGTGGATCATACCAACAATTTACTTATTACCATAAGTACAGACAAAAGGAAATGAAATAGAACAAATAGATTGCAGAAACTATATAAGATGCTGATTAGTGGAAAGGAAGTCGACATCAAGGTCAGCTATCATTGTGAACTAACTCATTTTATCTCTATGTCCATGTCCTCCTGATTTCTCTAGGGAAAAAAGAAAAAGGCACTGTCTTACACAGAAAACATCTCAGAAAAACTGCTGCTAAGCCATTTTTTTACTCACTCATCTCCTAGAGCACCTTAACAGGCTCCTGACATGCCTACCAAGCATCTGGCTTGAGAAAATCTTAGATTAACAGGAAACAGATTTCACTACACAATCGCAATATATACAAAGAAATAGCTTCCTAAACAAAACATCAAAATTCAATAAACTTCCACAATGTTCATTGCAGCTCTATTTACAATAGCCAGGACACAGAAGCAACCTAAGTGTCCATCAACAGATGAATGGATAAAGAAGATGTGGCACACGTATACAATGGAATATTACTCAGCCATAAAAAGAAATGAAATTGAGTTATTTGTAGGGAGGTGGATGGACCTAGAGTCTGTCATACAGAGTGAAGTAAGTCAGAAAGAGAAAAACAAGTACTGTATGCTAACACATATATATGGAATCTAAAACAACATAAAAATGGTTCTGAAGAACCTAGGGGCAGGACAGGAATAAATATGCAGACGTAGAGAATAGACTTGAGGACATGGGGAGGGGGAAGGGTAAGCTGGCATGAAGTGAGAGAGTGGCATGGACTTATATATACTACCAAATGTAAAATAGATAGCAAATGGGAAGCAGGTGCATAGCACAGGGAGATCAGCTCAGTGCTTTGTGAGCACCTAGAGGGGTGGGATAGGGAGGGTGGGAGGGAGACGCAAGAGGGGAGAGATACGGGGATATATGTATACATATAGCTGATTCACTTTGTTATAAAGCAGAAACTAACATACCACTGTAAAGCAATTATACTCTAATAAAGATGTTAAAAAAATTCAATAAACTTTAAAAAAGAGCTTTGGAACTAAACATTGGATCTAAAAGCTAATATGCTCGTTATAATAATAGTAACAGAAGTAGCAGTGGCTGCAGTGTTGTGGCAGTGGCAGTAGCAGCTCCTCCCCCATTTACTGAGAGCTTACTCAGCGCCAGGGACGGATGGCTTTACTAATTTCTCATTTAATCATTATTACAACCCTTTGAGTTTGATGACAATGCATAACCATACACCACACTATCTAGGTTTACCTCTTTCATTACATTTTTCCTTAAAAAAAAAAAGCAAAAAACAAACTTAGATATTAACTTTAAAAAATGGAATGGGGCTTCCCTGGTGGCGCAGTGGTTGAGAGTCCGCCTGCCGATGCAGGGGACACGGGATCGTGCCCCGGTCCGGGAAGATCCCACAGGCCATGGAGCGGCTAGGCCCATGAGCCATGGCCGCTGAGCCTGCGCGTCTGGAGCCTGTACTCCGCAACGGGAGAGGCCACAACAGTGAGAGGCCCGCGTACCGCAAAAAAAAAAAAAAAAAAAAATAGAATGAGATGTTACCTTGAAACATTCTGATTATTTTTAAAATGATGCCTTAAACACACACACACACACACACACACACACACACACAAACTCTTTTCAGGGTCACTACAAATGGGCAGAATTTAGTAGATATTACAATTCTAGTAAGGTTCTTAAAATAGCCCTTTGAGGTTGGTATAGTATTTTTTCTGCATTTAAATGGATTAGCTTAGAGTCATTACTGCTCAAATGATACTAATCACTTTAATTCTGATTAAAGGGACATGCAGGGCCAGTCCAGATAAACTGTCATGTCAGCAGCAACCTCAATCTCCCAGGGAAGCCTTTTAGCAATACATATAAATCTTGTCTATGGCTCTAGGGGTATTCCTTCTTATTTACAATGTAGCTAACAGATATTTTAACAAAGCAACTAGAAGTAAATTTAAAGAAAAATATCTTTTAAATTTATTTAAGAAAAATCAATATTTAAACCAAATATCATCAGAAAGTAAAGTAAAGAAATCTATACTTTAAAAAAATCTGAGTGTTAAAATCTCTATACAGTTTTGCTCTCTTTTGACGAATACTGGGTACTGTTTTAAAATATTAAATTCACTCTTCAGAGAAAGCCTTAGCAATGTTTTTGTGACTACTGTAACAATTCCCATCAAAACACTTTCTTCTCACATCCTTGTATGAATGCCATTTAACTTGTGATATGTAATTTCCAAAATAAATACATACGTACATACATACATACATTTATACCTGGGCTTATAAACCCATTTTCTTGTAGTTTTAAGTTTGAATAGCTAGATTTCTAGTGTCTCTTGATTATAAAAAATTAGTCAGACAAAAATGCGTAATAAAATCTTTTTAGAGGATATGATTTATTGCAGTTAATCTGATTATTTTTAAAGATACAGCTTCAAGAAAATTAAAGGAAATTTTGATCTGTAGCTGCAGAGAGAAGTATACTTTTTAATTTTGAAGAAAACAATCTTTTGAAGGCTTGCAGGGCAGAGTACATAAAGATAACCTACCAACAAACTCAGTACAATATCAAATAATAAACTGCCAATAACTAAAATAATATGGGTATGACTGAAAAAGAACAAGGGTATGTTTCATTTTACACTCTGGTTGTATTTCTATAGTTTTATTTAAGCCATATTTTAGAAAACAGAATACTATAAATGCTCAAAAGGCAATTTCTACTATTAGAAGAACTCAGTTTTAAATTATTTGTAAAGCAGACTTAATGCCAAAGTTATTTGTTTGCAGATTTGAAATTTATCTGAATGGTTTAAAATGCCATTTGTGTTCTTATAGAATAAAGTGCCATGAGCAATCTCATGTTAAAGTCAGAGGACTTGTTACTAGAAACCTGATACAAAATAGTAAGAGAACTAGAAAGATGCATTAATACTGCTTCAGCTGTTCTCAGAGAATAACTTTTTAAAAAAAATAAATTTATTTATTTATTTGTTTATTTTTGGCTGCACTGGGTTTTCATTGCTGCGCGTGGGCTTTCTCTAGTTGTGGCGAGCGCGTGCTACTCTTCGTTGCTGTGCACAGTCTTCTCGTTGCAGTGGCTTCTCTTGTTGCAGAGCACAGGCTCTAGGTGCGGGGGCTTCAGTAGTTGTGGCTCTTGGCTCTAGAGCACAGGCTCAGTAGTTGTGACACATGGGCTCTAGAGCCCAGGCTCAGTAGTTGTGGCTTGTGGGCTCTAGAGTGCAGGCTCAGTAGTTGTGGTGCATGGGCTTAGTTGCTCTGTGGCATGTGGGATCTTCCCGGACCAGGGCTCGAACCCATGTGCCCTGCATTGGCAGGTGGATTCTTAACCACTGTGCCACGAGGGAAGCCCCGAGAATGATAACTTTTAACAGCAGCCCATAATAGCTCTAATAGGCAAGTCACAAAAATTGAACTATTTTTTATATATTAATACTTGAGACTGTGGCCCAATTCTTATAATAAGTTTTAAAATTTTAATTAATGTTGTTTAAGATATACTTTTTGGTAAATACTCTTATAATGAAAATAGTGAGAGTATTAGTTTAAGTGTAGTAATTAAAATCAGGGTTCAACCCCAAGCTCTTTCACTTATTAGGGCTGAACAATCTTGGAGAAACTCCTTGATTTTTCTATGACTCAGTTTCATCATGTACTGAAAGGGAAAAATAGTACCTACCTCATAAGGTTGGTGTGATGATTAAAAGAAGTTAATCTTTATAAAGCACTTGGCATAATGCCCCACACAGTATTCAATAACTGTGTGCTATTATTATCGTTCTGGGTTTTATTGTTGAATGCAACAAATGCCAAATTCTCTTCTCTTGTTGGGGCTTAATATAACAAAGTCAAAGGAGACATCAAAGGAGACAGAATGAAAATTTCTCATCAGGGCATAGTAATGATTTCTGACCTACCAGCTACCCAGCTTACTGTAATATTTTCACTTTCTTGTGTTTATAACAATTAAAATTAGATGCATAAAAACAATAAGAACTTATTATGTCTTTCACTGAAATATCAGTAGAGGTTACCTACCTGTGTAGCTCTTCTGTTTTGTCTTCAGTCGGACCTACGATTAGTAAACAATGGCGAAGAACAGCTGCCATGACACGAAACTGATGAGAATCACCCTATGGCAAATAAAAGAGAGGTGAGGAAAAATTGGGGATTGAATGAATGCCTTAATGAAGGAGTCTGGTACATTACTACAACCGTGGGAGTCATCCTATGGCCCATCTAACACCCAAAACAGTTATTCTTATGCCATACATAATAGGAGTCAGGATATTCTAGGAAGAATTCCCAAGTATTACCAAAGTATTAACTAAGTGAATTGTCATCATCTCATATGAACAACTACAGCCACTGCCAGAAATGGCTGAAACCATAAGTTGTTGATCTATCCTTCCCCTTATGACATGTCAGGCAAAGAGAAATATGATCAGCATCCATATATTATTACCCACTCTGTTTTACCTATCCATAAGATTTAATTCAACTAGGGATCTTTTCCATTTCCAGAAAGTCTAGATTCTTTTGTTGGATAGTATACTGTTCCAGTTTATGAGTCATTATAAAAATTCAAACAGATATAATACTATCAGGTATTTTAGAAGCGGGTTGTACATCCTTAATAAAAATGTCTTATCTCTTAACTTTCAAAAACAATGGATTAAAATCTATAATCTATCAACTTCATTTTAATGAATCTTCTTAATCTCCTAGTTCCTCCAAATCTTATTCCTAGTTTCTCCAAAGCGACCAGCAAGTGATGAAAAATAAGCACTCTTGAGTTTAATCTCCTATTTTCCCAACGTTTACTCATTGGTAGTGGTATTAGACACACATAGAGTCAGAGGGAAGGCAAATAATAGGAAATAAGCTGAGCTCTGAATAATCACTTGGTTTACCTCCTAATTTATCGTGAGATCTTGGGCCACTACAATTTTTTTAATCATCTGAATCAAGGTTGTACCTTTCTTCTTCCAAACTTTTAGTAATAAGACATATGAAATTAGTGATAATTATCTATTATAATCAGATCCTGGATATGTTATATTTCAGGAAGGTTCCAATTACTTCAAAAGCTATTAAAATTTTTAAAGTTCTGTATATACATAATTGATTTCAAGTCTGTATAAAGTGAAATATATTCACATATCATACATATATAGCCTATATTCATATATGTAACTCAGCCCTTCTAGGAAGATGTCTTTTATAAAATCTAACAAACAATAGCACAGTTTCATTACTCATAATGTGGATAACAATATTTTAAAATAACACCATCATGTGTAGATTTGGAAGAGATGAAGGTCTCAGTGGCATAACAGAAAAAGCCCTTTACTTAGAGTCAAGAGTCTAGGTTGTGACCTTAGGCAAGTCATATGGCTTCTCTAAGCCAAAGTTTCCCCATATGCATCTCCACAAACATGAGATTGTTAGGTTTGTAAAAGGATTAAATTAAAGAAGATGATACACATGAAAATGCTTAGTACTTTCAGTGAAATATTTGAGGGTGAGGGGAAGGATGAGGCAGGAAGGAAACAAAAAGTAAGACTGATAGAGCTGAAATGAGTGATAGCGAAATTATTGCGTGTTGGGGAGGGGGACCGGTGGAATGCTAGAGACACTAAGGGCTTGGAATGAACACTGTTCCACTTGCCATCCATCTTCAAATGCCTAAATCAAAATTCTCTAATATGCAAATATACTTTTACATATCCCACGTTACATGAAGCACAGCACACTGAAATGCATGTGAAACTCATCCATTACTTAACTCTTAAAAAGATCATATTTTCCTTGGTTTTGATAATTAACTAGGAATGCACTTCCTTTTAAACTAGATTTTCCTTTGTTTTAAATATCACAATCATTCTCTTCTCATGCTGATGTTGACAAGCCCCTTGCAAAACTCCATTTTGGTCCTTCCACTATTTGCAACTGTAAGTGAAAATCCTACTTCCTTCCATCCCCTTTCCTCCAATTTTCATGACACCAACTCCCTAGTTGTACCCTGTGTGTGCCTGTCCTCTTTTACTGTCCACTAAATTCTATTTCTTTACTCAAAACAACTACTGAAGTCCCGGGATTGTGTGCCTCTTCTTTTAGTATCACTGACTCCTTTTCATCCTCCAGGTCTCAGAGAAGCCCTTTCTTTGACCACCTTATTTAGGTAGATTCCTTCTTTCATTATCTCTATCATTGTATCTTGTTATGATTTCTTTCAGGAAATCATAATCTGTAATTCCACATTTGTTTACATACTTACATATGCATTGTTTTCTCCATTCATCTAGTACCTTCACAAGTTTTAGAGGGCATGTGTTTAACAAGTGTTCAATAATTTTTAATGTAAATGAAAAGTAAAACAAACAAAAAAGTGCTCAAATCATAAGTGTACAGCTAGATAAATTTTCACAAAATGAGCACGTCCATACAACCAGCATGAAAACAAAGCAACGCCAAGATTGAGAACCCCAGAATTGCCCTCATGACCCCTTCAAATGACAGATCTGCTCTTCAATTGTAATTCTAACATTTAACATCATGGTTTAGTGATTTTTGTTGTCACAAATTTTAAGTGAATGGAATCATAAAATATAGACCCTTCTGTATCTGGTTGTGAGATTCATCCATGTTGTTGTGTACAGTTGCAGTTTGTTCATTTTCACTGCTTGAGAGTGGTGCTATTCAAAGTGCAGTTTGTGGACCACTACTGGTCCACACCCTGTTTGCCACTGATCTGCAAAGCCATGAGTACAGAAGGTACACCTGAACATTTAGAAACTTTTCAAGCAGTCTGACATGGTGTGTAATATTGTATTATACAAGAGTTCCATTCTGACAGCTAGGGAATCATTTGCATTGATTAAGATCTGAGCCATTTAAAAAATAATAATAAAAGGAAGCATGCCGAAACGAAAAGTTAGTTGAAAAGGTCAAATTCATCAGCTGGAGAATCCTGACTTTACTGCAGGCAATCGGTATCAGTTGGGGCATGTATTGCTCACGTTGTATTTGATAGGTGTTGTAGCATCAAATTACGGGAAGGAGGCAGCACAACAATGAAGAGAAGAATCAAATGACTTGTCAGTAATGATGCTTCAGTCCAGGGGAGCCTCGTTTATGAGAACCCACTGTTCACATTCACGTACTGTTCCTGCCAAAGCACTGCTGAATACAGTGAGTATATTACAATTCACTTATCCATCCTACTCTTGATGGACACTTGGACTATACTGAAGAGTGCTGCTATGAACATACTTTCTTATATGTCATTTGGTATGCTGGGTCGTAGGGCATATACATATGACAGACTTTAGAAGGTACTGCCAAACAGTGTTTCAAAGTGTTTATATCAGCTTACACTCCCACCAGTTGCTCTACAGCTGCACCAACACTTGGTATTGTCAGCCTTTTAAATTTGTCATTCTTATGGATGTGCAGAGATTTTATTATGCATTTTCCTGATGACTGATAAAGTTGAACACCTTTTCTTATGTCTACTGGTCATTTGGATAGCTCTTTTATGAAGTGCCTGTTCAAGCCTTTTGCATATTTTTCTATAGGGTTAATTGACATTATTTGTAGGACTTGAGTATATTCTAGGTAGAGTCCTTTATTGCATATATGTGTTGAAAATATCATCTCCCATTTGGTGGCCTGTTTTTTACTTTCTTCTCTTGATGAACTAATTTTAATGAAGACCAATTTGTCAATTTTTCCTTTATGGTTTGAGCTTTATTTTGTTCTGTTTTAAAAACCTCTGCCTATTTAAGAAATGTTTGACTTGTTTAAAATAAAGTCATGGGGCTTCCCTGGTGGCGGAGTCGTTGAGAGTCCACCTGCCAATGCAGGGGACACGGGTTCGTGCCCCGGTCCGGGAAGATCCCACATTGCTGTGGAGTGGCTGGGCCTGTGAGCCATGGCCGCTGGGTCTGCGCATCTGGAACCTGTGCTCCTCAACGGGAGAGGCCACAACAGTGAGAGGCCCGTGTACCAATAAAAAAAAAAAAAAGTCATGAAGATAATCTTCTGTTTCTTTCCAAAAGCTTTATCATTTTACCTTTTACATTTAAGTCTCTTATCCATCTCAAATTAATTTTTCTGTATGGTATAAGGTAGGGATTTAAATTCATTTTTAACTGATGAAAAAGCCCACCTTTTCCCCACTGCAATTCAGTGTTACCTGTATCATAAATCAGCTGACTGTATATGTGCAGGTTTATTTCTAGATTCTTTATTCTATTAGTCTGTCTCAATAAATATTTGTTGAATGAGAGCTATCATTTAAAATGTCTTACTTAACAAAGGTCAGAGTGTACACTATTTCCTACTATTGGTTGTTCTGCTGGGTGACTTTACATAAACAATTTAAACTCTTTGATCTTTAGTGTCCTCATTTGTCAAATGAGATTAATGCTCCTCCTATCTTATACAGATGCTTGAAAGAGTAAATATAATTGTTCTTTTTAAAACAATATACACAGTTTATACAACTGTCATTTACTTCTTCATGAGCTAAGTTTTTTGTTTGTTTGTTTGTTTGTTTGTTGCGGTACGCAGGCCTCTCACCGTTGTGGCCTTTCCCGTTGCAGAGCACTGGCTCTGGACGCGCAAGCTCAGTGGCCATGGCTCACGGGCCTAGCCGCTCTGCAGCATGTGGGATCTTCCCGGACCAGGGCACGAACCCGTGTCCCCTGCATCGGCAGGTGGATTCAACCACTGAGCCACCAGGGAAGCCCATGAGCTTAGTTTTGATATCTTTAGGGCATCAACAGTCTCTCCTCTGTAATCCTACTATCTCCAAAGGTTGAGAAGGCAAAAAAATACCTAAGACAGAGGAGGAAGAAAGAGAAAGCAAGCAGGCTTGTTGTGACAGTAGAAATTAAAATGAGATAACACTAAGAGAGGTAAAAACTCATGAAACTCTTTGGGATCTTTGTTGGGGGGGGGATCTTTTTATACAGGCTTTGTTTCTTATTCATAGATTCCACTACTGTACTATTGCTTTCTTCTCCTGTGCAACCTGTGGAAGATTTTCACTTTTGTTTGGTAAAGGTATCAATATCCTCATACCTTTTTCATTCAGCGCTTCAACCAATCTAATCAATGCCTGAGA